GTGAGAATTTTATTGTTTTATATTTTTATTATTTTATTGTTTCCCTTCTACGTAACTTTACCGAAAGAACCAAGAATATGCACACATAGCTTTAGAATGACGGTTAAGACACAAGTAACAAAGTTGCCTTCTCTCGCTCATTATGCCACATGACCTATGGCAATTTCCACTAAATAACAGACTTTAGTATATTCCTGTAGAGCACTGGGCGGCTGTAGGAATTGGACTGTCAACTCCGGTCATCCTCGCATTGGCTTTTGACGAGCCATTGAACAAAGAGGCTCGCAGACATTATAGAGGTCGAAACAATGCAAATGCGGATGTGCGTCATTGTTTTGTGAAATAATTTGGGTTTATTTACTCTGCATCTTTAATATTTCATATCTTGTTTCTTAACTCTTGCTGCCGTGTCTGTCTGCTGGCCGAGTCACCCTTGAAAAAGTGCTGTACAGCTCAATGGGTAATTTACTGGGATAATAAACTTCTGATTCTGAAGCTGCATCGAATGCTTTCAAAAGCGTTTCTGCGGCACTTTTTGAACGCTCTTCCTTCCGATATTAGGAAGACACTTGAGCTGTGCACTTTTAAATCTCGATTGCAAACGTATTTCCTGACAATTGCTTTTTGTGTTTAGTCTGTTATCCTTCTGCCCGCACTTGCGATGAATATCGTTGGCTCCGTACGGTGCAAAAGAAGTTCAACGTACATGCATGCAAACAGTGAGGAGCATGCTGACCGTCAGGCGTGTAGTTCTCAAATCAGGGTCAATGGCGACTTCCACGTGGGAGAGATTTCAATGGAGAGCGACCAGCCCTTTTCTCACTCCCCACAGAAACTCTGACATCGACGGCTGGCTGGTCACACAGAGGGTTCTCTTGAAAAGTCAGGGGAGCAATTATGGGGGGCTATGTTGGCAGCGCTATGCGACGCGTAGGGGCCCAGTCAGCCACAAGGGGGGCCCCCCAAAAGAACAGATGAACGAGCACAAACATGTTAAGAAAAATAATTCAAATGCAAATATATTCATGAAAAAAGTGCCTGCAGTCTACCGTGGTCCCAGCCTGATTAACGCATCTGGCTATCGTATGCACAGAGCAGCGTGAAGTTGGACGATCCACCCCCTTTGAGGAAATCCGAGATCGATGGGTCGGCATGAAAGCAAGACGCACGATAACTTTATTGTGGGTATTGTACCTTGAGATACTTTTTATTAATACTCTTACTGTCAGACTGTCTTCCTCTAAACCCAATGCACAGTGCAACTCATATTGTATATAGTCATAGCCTAGATAGTATTGTTTACGGGTTAAAAACAACCCGTAGCTATTTCAGTCAAAGTGAGTCGGGGAAAAGGTAGGGGACACCACAGTCGTATCTTGCATACCCCCGTTGAACCAGGTCTTTGCACCCCTGCTGGAAGTCAACACAGCCAATTTAGCACCAGCGGCTGCACAAAAAAACAAGACTGTGGTGTGCACCAGTGTTCCGTTGACTCTGGAGGGTTGGCGGATCATAGACACTCGTGGAAATTCCCAAACGCGCTGGACAAAGAGGCGATGAGGATACGGCAGTGCAGCAAGTGGTTTGAGGACCAAATGTTTGCCGCGCTTTCATTGTTGTGAGAATTTTTTTTTTATGGCTTCGCCTAAAAACGCAACACACTCGCTATTGCAATGGGCACAAAATGTGCCAACGCAAGACCCTCCCGAGAAGATCACCGAGACGCAATGATAATCAACCCGAGGAGGGAGAGAAGCACACACAGCGGCCCTCTTGTGGGGTGTCCTGAACGCCCACAGGTTGAGCGCCCCTGCAATGTTCCTGACGGAATTGAGCTTTGATTCGCTGGGCAAAAGAGCAGCCAGAGTTTGCACGGCCCGTTATAATCAACACCGAAGAACGTTCACCGCCTCGCTGTTAGGAGGTGGCTTGTCGGGACAGAAGGTGTGCCAGCGACATCGTTTCTCTCAAACATCGTGCGGTACGGTGATTGCGTAATGGCTGGGTGTGATTAATGAGTCCTTTGAAAAAAAATCCCAAACCCCCTGGCACGTCTTTTCGTCCCCTCATCTTTCGCTGTCAACTCCTTTTTTCATCTCTCCTTCGTGTGCCCCCTGTTCGCAATTAATCATTTAATATGCTTCCCTATTCGTTTGCCTTCATCACCTCTGAATAAATGCACAAATGAATGCAAAAAACTTGACATTCTATATAGCAAGGTGTAAGTGCTAGGAGACAAAGTATGGCCTTGCAATTGAGAATCGAGTAGAGCGCAGGTTTTCGCGGTGGTGAGATGTTAACAACCTCGCCTGGTATACAGGAGGTTATGGGTTCGATACCGACCCTGACGCCTGCTGCTGTATATTTGGAGTTTGCGGGTCCTCCAGTTTTTCCCTACATATTTAGAAACGCGTTTAGGGTATTTGGCTGCTATACATTTCCACATGATGAGCCACTTGATTGGGCTATCATTTGTGGCCAGGACGCTTCTAAAAAAGAGCTCTATAGCTCAGTGGGCCTTACGTAGTAAAATAAATAATAGTTTTCATAGTTTTAGTTTCGTTTTTTCGAATAGCATAACAAGGATGTGAGATTTCCACCACTGGCTCAGATCGACCAACGGAGATGAGTGTCACCCCCATTACTCATTTAAGATGGGGAACACACGTCGTCCTGATATCCAGAAGGTGTAGAAAGTTGCAAAACGAATGTTGCAAATATTGAACAAAAAAGTGTAAAACAAAAAAACCGTGTAAAAATACAATTGGAGGTGAGCATGTGGCTCAGGGGCCAGATGGCTGAGTCAGTACGGCTGAGATGCTGAGCTCGTGTCTGGGCAGATGCCACCTGTGATTAGACAGGGTGCTTAAGTATCGTTTGTTCATGGACTCAGCCTGGTCATCAGGAACTGCACACAAGAAGAACACCGTTAGATTCGTGTTTTCTCACTTAATTTGGCAAAAAATTCCATCTCTGAAAATTATTTATAATTCGTTCACATGCGACGAACACTCTCTACAGGGGCAAATAGATGGACAGGCTGGTGTTTGAAGGGGGCTTGCGGTGGAGTCGTTCTTCGAGATCATCTTCCAAGGTCGTTCTCTTGACACAGGCTGGTGCGCTGCTCACTGCAAGTGTCCCAAATAGAAATCTCTTCATTCTAATTACATAGCATTAATATCAAAATTGGTATCAAATTTAGTCGAAAAAATATCCAATTATAAAATATAATTAATGGCATAAAGTTGGATAATTCAGTTCAGTAATTTCATTAATTAAATTGCAAAGATAATTGAAACAAATTTCAAGGCAATTGAAAAGCCTGGATAATATAACTAAACACAGGATGCAAGCGATTGCAAAGATGCGAAGCAGAAAGGATGAATAATGATTAATAGCCTATTGAAAATGCCGCATTGAGACACTGATCTCTTAAGCCCGTTATTGTTACGTAAGACCACAGTGACATTGGATCCTACTGTTGCCTTTCACTTCGTCCCGTCAGTCTCCCCCTTCCCCCTGCTCTTCCTTCTATCACCTCGCCACCCTGAAGTCCACTGTGTGCACGGAGGGGTCCCCATTTGGTTTGTAAAATCACGTTGTGCCAGTGGGCTTCTTGCCTTGCCGCTAGCTTCTTTGCGCCTGCTGCAGCTTTCCTGGGACAATAATGCACGTGTACTCTTTTCAGGAGGCTATTAAACGTGTTGCTGTATGAACACTCGCCTTGTGGCAGCCATGTCAGGTTTTGAAGGTTACACGTCAGCCAGCACATTTGATGGAAGAGAGGTGCCAGTGACTCCTTCTCATGATAAGGTTTTTTTAAAAAAAATAAAGGTTATTGAGGAAGTGGCTGCCTCAGCAGACAATTTAATATCGACCTGAATTAATGTTCTGCCACGTTTTCCGCGTATTTTTTGTCATTTTGTGTGTTTCTTTTGTTTCGCTAGCTTTAGCACACGCTGAATTAATGAGGCTTGCAGAGCTGAAACTGCACCAATGTATTCTACCCTACACAGACAAATTTACAGCTTCAGATATACTGCAGGGATATCCTTTATAAGTTTGTATGAGAGTGCCTGGTTGTATTTCCTGTTCAAAGCCTCGCACTGTGGACTGCAGTGAGGTCACCTGGGTCACACATCTTAATGCGCAGGCTATGTAACGGAGATCTCTGCAAAGTCAGAGGCATTGAACATTTTAAAGCCTGACCTAAAATGTTAAGACGTTGCATTTGCAATGTCAGATGATTGATGCGTGCAATATGTTAAAATTACATATACAGTATACGCTAATAAATACATTTACCAATGTTTACCATCGAAGGCCTTTTGACCAAGGTATAACGCTTGCAGTAAATGATGAGTGCTGCTGTTATTGTCACAACTTCACTTTCATCCGAAACCCTGCGATTCTGGCTCTCGGCGGAATCATGGGCAATGAACACACTCTCTTCCTGTCCTCTCGGAGAGAGCAGGGCACCCACCTCCGAGTGTCGGTGGCTCCCGGATATACCGTACGATGTGTTGCCTTGCACAGCCGTTGGGTCACCAACATGAATCGATCAACACAAGTGCTCCATTTCATCACGTATGGTTGTCTGGATTCGAACCAACCTAGGTTTATCAATGGTGCCCTGAGCCACCCAGTCATCACTCGATCATGAGAACCGTCACCTTTACCATCTCATCGTGTGTTGTGCCGTTTGTTTCACTTTCGTGATTTTCCTTAACATTAACGTTGGATCAACCTAACGATGGAGCTGGTGATGCACCACTTTTATTGGGAATATGCGTGTGCGTGAGGTCTTCTCAGCCTAACATGAGGAGTACCTGGTGCAGTGTATAAACATCTCTACTCGGGAGACAAATGCCGCCAGGCATCGTGCGCCGTGCCAGCCTTCATAGGTGCTACTCGCTAACAGCACTTGCCCAAAACAGTTCGGTAAAGGTTACACGGGGGACCTTTCTTTTGTCTCTGTTTTACGTGCGTGTTCCAAACAGGGGGGTGTGCACCCAGGCTCCCTGCTACTGCATCATCATGGAGTACTGCGCACAGGGCCAGCTGTATGAAGTGCTCCGCGCTGGGCGTAAGATCACCCCGGAGCTTCTGTACCGGTGGACCACGGGGATCGCGAGCGGCATGAACTACCTGCACCTGCACAAGATCATTCACCGGGACCTTAAGTCACCCAAGTGAGTGCCCTCATCGAGACGTCTCTGAGGCTGGCCAGCACAGGGCCAGCAGCTCTTTTGCATGCAGGCTTGTAGCAGGTAATGCCCGTCACGTAATTATCTCTTGTGATGGGCCTCTCTCTCACCCACCATCCAGCTGCATGCCCCCCCCCCCCCCAAAACCCCCTTTTGGTAAATTGGCAAGGCATGACAATAAAGTCAGCACAGCCTTAGCAAAGTTACAATTATGTCAGTCGCTTAAACAGGCTATAATGTATCGGCTCTTATTAACCTCTTCAAAGCCTTTGGGCCATCAAACAGCTCAGGCAGGTCCCCAAAACAGCTGGGCCCCATAAAAACCCGTCACGCTTTTCTTCTTCTTCTTCTTCTTCTTCTTCTTCTTCCTCTTCTTCTTCTTCTTCCTTTCAGTGGCCCTGAGTGCAGGAAGGCGCTCTGCTTGAATTTCGCGACGGCAAATTACATTCTCAGACTTCACAGTTTGTCACACGTTGCCAATGTGATATACGTCACGTTGGCCGCATGTCACAATTGTCGGGGGTGGTTTTGGTGGTGTGCCTTGTGAGTCACCGTGGTGCACACATTTTCAGGCAAACCTGATTGAGCCGTCATAGTGGATCGACATTTAGAAACGTGCATTGGGATTGTGAAAATTATTGTGGTGCTATGAATGTCCAAATGATGGGCTACTTAAGTTGAACTATCATTCGCGATAGCCAGGTCGCTTCTGAAAATATGTTAATACATTAGTGGGCGTTGCCTGGTATGATGGGGATGATATATATTCTTGGTTCTTTCGGTAAAGTCACGTAGAAGGGAAACAATACAATAATAAAAATATAAAACAATACAATTCTCACGATGTTTCGACTGCAACACAAGCAATCATCATCAGGTGTGAAAACCACAGCAAGAAAATTTGAAAAAAGTGGCGATTTTTTTCTATTGTTTCCCTTCTACGTTACTTTACCGAAAGAACCAATAATATGAATCCCTGCAGTCACGAAAGCTTTAAATCAAAATGATGGGGATGGTTTAGTTGAATGTGTACGTGTGATTTTTTCCCCTCTCTTGTAGTTTACACTACTATCGTGTTTGTGTACTGTTTGTTATTGTAACGTTCTTACCCCATGTCCCTACTGGACATCTGTGGAAAAGAGCTTTATAGCTCATCGGATTCCTCCAGTACAAATAAACATTCTCGATTCTGGTACGTTTGACCAATTCTATTGACGAGTGTCTGGGCGTGTAGAAGGAAACTAGCACCTGGAGGAAAACCCCATGCAGCTGTGGCGGGTAGCACTCAACGCTTACACCGATATGATCCACTGCTGCCTCTACTGCCATCTTCAGGCCTCCCCACCACCTTTAGTGCTTTAATAGCTGCCAATTTATTGTATCATTGAGCAGCCTATTGTTTGTGTATCACGCTAGCAGCCCAAGCTGTGATATTAGGATACCCCGTGGCTATTTTGTACTGATGTACAATAAAACGTACTTCATGGCTATGGAATAAAAAAATAATTTTAAAAAGCCCATACTTTCATGTGTTTTAAGGATGCTGGTTTTATTGATGGTCAGGCTACTGTGCAAGCGTATATCTTTCAGGGTAATTCGTATTGTTATTTTCTTACATCATCCAGTGACTTTACAGATATCTGAAATTTGGCCCCATAGTGTGAAGGTCAATTCAGAGTGTAACATTGTTTTATTTTTTCCCAAATTTGAATATGTTTCCCCCCCCCTGTTCCCAGTAAGCTAGAACAACAGGATGATTTTTTTTGGTGGGGGAGGGGTTGTTTTTTGGGTGGTGAGTAAAATAATATTGGTAGCTGAAGGCCAACCTCATTTGTCCTCTGCCGATTCACGCATTTCACTGAGATGTGCTGCATCCTCACATTCAGCATACCATACGGTCAGCACGGTCCATCGTATACCAAGTCACAAAGATGTTAAAAATGTATTCTAGGACACAGGTCACGTGCCCTTGCAGCAGCTCTGAACACGAGTCATTTATTTCCTACAGTTTAATCTCCGGCGGTGAATGTGAAAGTTTGAAGTTTCTGCATTGATTGCAGCACCACTGTAGACTAGTTTAAACATGAAAATCTATATAATGTTGGATTGGTTCTCGGATTTTTGACTGTTTGCTGTTAGCGGGATGCATTTCCATCTATAAATTTTAATTCGTCCTTGCCAGGCAGGATGGTGCAGGACACCAAGCTATATATACTGTATATATATGCGTACACTATATTTATACTTACTTGTGTGGGTGAAATAATTTATGTTCATGTACATGCAAACAATTTCCAGAGAAAACGTAAACGATTTCCACTTTATTGCCGAAGTTTATGATTATTAAATATGCAGTTTTCAAAGTGCACAGGGAGCCATTTTGCAAGCAACAAATCATAGGAACACATTGAGCACAAATGTTATGAGACCGGAGTGTTGACTGATCGCCTCTGACTTGGTGCTATTCCCTGTAAGCTGCTCTGCTCTTCAACGGCGCAGGACTCACAAGCACCACTGCAGGGCACGTGGCCATAGCTTGTGTCAGCTCTGAAGTGGACAGTGTAAGAACTAAGTGTGAATTTGCAAATGAATGTGTCAGGGTGGTGCACTGGTAACACTTGTGCCTCACAACTAGAAAGCCCTGGGTTCTATTCCCGATTTGGGGCGCCTCTCTGTGTGGACAAAATGGGTCTTTTTTGCCAGTACCAAAGTATGAAAAATAATAATAGGTTTTACTCTTTCTGGCAATAAAACAGGTGTTCAAAGACGATGCATATATTATCAGAGCATGTTTGTTTGCATGTTCACCACAAGTATGCCTGGTTGATGCGAACTTGATTCCTTGAAAAACGTTTCGTTGAAAATGTTTGAACATCTTAACACCTTTGATTTAAAGCTTTCGTGACTGCAGGGATTCATATTCTTGGTTCTTTCGGTAAAGTCACGTAGAAGGGAAACAATAAAATAATAAAAATATAAAACACAATAAAATTCTCACGACGTTTCGACTGCAACAGTCGACATTTCAATTGCTTGTTTTGCAGTCGAAACGTCTTGAGAATTTTATTGTTTTATATTTTTATTATTTTACTGTTTCCCTTCTACGTGACTTTACCGAAAGAACCAAGAATATCTTAACACCTGTTTAATTACCAGAAAGGGTAAACCATCTTATTATCTCTGTATGGATTTTGTATGTTCTCACCCCCTGTCTTGCATCGGTTTCATCTGGATTCCCTGGTCTCCATAGCTAAAAAAATATAACATAATAGAACTGGTATTTACCAAACATCCCAATGCTGAATATTTACCAGCAAATTACTCAATTGGGATTAAACTCCACTCCAAAAACTTGGCAGGACACTCATGAAAAAGCGTATTAAGGCTGAGTGAGGCTTTCCTGGGTAAATTTCCTGACACTCTTCCTTGCCCTATGTTAATCTGAGCATTTTGCAGTCGAGGTGAGCTTTTCGCCAAAGCTACCCGTCATCTACTTTAATAAATAATATTGCTATGCTAATGACATTTTCAGAACAGCACACGGCACAAATTCACACTCGCAGTTTGGATCGTTCATTTTGAGAGGGCCTCTAAATACGCGTCGATAATTTCCCGACAAAACGAGTCGCCGTTCCTCTGTATCGAGCATCCACATTGCTGCCTGAGCTGATTCTTCCACGGTGTGCTCAGGACCTGTGAAGACACCGTTTACAAATCCCAGCCACAAAATTAGCTGTAGGCAAACCCCCCCCCCCCCCCCCCACAGTTTGGCACGAAGCAAAGGGCATTCAGATTGTTAAGCAATGTCGGAGTTTTACGTGGCGGTCGTTTTAGTGTACGCGCATCGATTAGATAATTGCAAAGCTTTGGAGATTGATGCTTTGCTGATGAGCAGAAGGACATAGCCCAGGGACATAGGGCCACCCCTGGAGTCGACGAGCGGCTCTTATTGCCGTCTGCCCAGTCATGAATCTTCACTCTCCTGATGGGGCTGCAGCCGTGAGGAGGTGGGGAGGGATCGGGCGGACGTGGGCTCGATGGCCGTGCGGGGCATATGCTGTCGTGCCCAGGCAACACCACAAGCCCAGCTGGGCGGAGTTGCGCTGCGATCGTACGCGGGTTGAAGGTTGTTTGTTGTTGTGGACAAAAGCAGCGGCACCGCCGCCTGAGTACATTCTGTGGGCGGTGAAGAGTTTGGGATATTGAATGAGACGGAATGGGTTATTGTGACCTAATCTTCCACGCTCGCATTTTTTCTCCACCTATTCAGATTGTGCACATAGATGGATCCAGAGCCAGGGGTAATGGACTGACTAAAGTTTAAATATCAATTATTGTAAATTTGTATTACACGTCTGGTCCAAGGTCTTCATAAAACCTTTCCGCGCTATAAGAAGCAGAGCAAGTCTGCGCAAATAAGTTTGTGTAAGCTGCATTTGTATGCTTAGGAAGCTGACTTGTCTTCACGTAGGCCGAGGTTTCTACTGTACTTTGGAATAGGTGTTGTTTTTTGACACATTAGGAGACTTGTGATTGCTGCTGTTGGCCACCCAGTGACATTTCCTCCAGTCACTTTGCAAAATGTGCTCTGATTGGGCCTATGTAGTTAGCAGGCCTTGGCGCAGGCTGCTTTTTGCTGTCTGCAGACAACTGCCAAGTCTGCTGCGGTCTCCTGTGGTGCACAGCTACACCTACAGAACACACGCCTAGATGCATTCACATCCTCATGTTCTGCAGCTTTAAAAGCCAATGCGGCAGCGTGGCATCGTGGTAATATTCATGCCACATGGCAAGAAGGGCCTGGGTTCCGTCCCCAACTCTGGTGCCTTTCTGTGTGTATTCTGTATGTTCCCTCCACCTCTTTCTGCATGCATAAGTGGTATTGGTCAAACACCCCAATGCTGAGCAATTACCGGCATATTACTCGATTTGGATTCCACACAGCAGCAGAAATATCGCTTCACTACTGCAAATACTTAGCAGGACCCTGAGACTTAGTGAGGCTCTCCGGGGTCAGCAAGGGTAGTAATAATAATAATTACCTTCTTTGTGAATCCATAATTGTGCCAGTGCTGGCTCAATCCCCTGACGTAGAATATTAAGCCTTTGTGCCATCATGCACTCTGGCAATATGTACCTGGTTGTGTATGATTCCTGGCGTTGTTACCTGGATGAAGTAAAATAGGTGTTGTACATGTACATATACAGTGAGGGAAAAAAGTATTTGATCCCCTGCTGATTTTGTACGTTTGCCCACTGACAAATAAATTATCAGTCTATAATTTTAATGGTAGGTTTATTTGAACAGTGAGAGACAGAATAACAACAATAAAATCCAGAAAAACCCATGTCAAAAATGTTATGAATTGATTTGCATTTGAATGAGGAAAATAAGTATTTGACCCCCTCTCAATCAGAAATATTTCTGGCTCCCAGGTGTCTTTTATACAGGTAACGAGCTGAGATTAGGAGCACACTCTTAAAGGGAGTGCTCTTAATCTCAGATTGTTACCTGTATAAAAGACACCTGTCCACAGAAGCAATCAATCAATCAGATTCCAAACTCTCCACCATGGCCAAGACCAAAGAGCTCTCCAAGGATATCAGGGACAAGATTGTAGACCTACACAAAGCTGGAATAGGCTACAAGACCATTGCCAAGCAGCTTGGTGAGAAGGTGACAACAGTTGGTGCGATTATTCGCAAATGGAAGAAACACAATAGAACTGTCAATCTCCCTCGGCCTGGGGCTCCATGCAAGATCTCACCTCGTGGAGTTGCAGTGATCATGAGAACGGTGAGGAATCAGCCCAGAACTACACGGGAGGATCTTGTCAATGATCTCAAGGCAGCTGGGACCATAGTCACCAAGAAAACAAGGGTAACACACTACGCCGTGAAGGACTGAAATCCTGCAGCGCCCGCAAGGTCCCTCTGCTCAAGAAAGGACATATTCATGCCCGTCTGAAGTTTGACAATGAACATCTGAATGATTCAGAGGACAACAGGGTGAAAGTGTTGTGGTCAGATGAGACCAAAATGGAGCTCTTTGGCATCAACTCAACTGGCCGTGTTTGGAGGAGGAGGAATGCTGCCTATGACCCCAAGAACACCATCCCCACCGTCAAACATGGAGGTGGAAACATTATGCTTTGGGGGTGTTTTTTTCTGCTAAGGGGACAGGACAACTTCACCGCATCAAAGGGACGATGGACGGGGCCATGTACCGTCAAATCTTGGGTGAGAACCTCCTTCCCTCAGCCAGGCCATTGAAAATGGGTAGAGGATGGATATTCCAGCATGACAACGACCCAAAACACACGGCCAAGGCAATAAAGGAGTGGCTCAAGAAGAAGCACATTAAGGTCCTGGAGTGACCTAGCCAGTCTCCAGACCTTAATCCCATAGAAAATCTGTGGAGGGAGCTGAAGGTTCGAGTTGCCAAACGTCAGCCTCGAAACCTTAATGACTTGGAGAAGATCTGCAAAGAGGAGTGGGACAAAATTCCTCCTGAGATGTGTGCAAACCTGGTGGCCAACTACAAGAAACGTCTGACCTCTGTGATTGCCAACAAGGGTTTTGCCACCAAGTACTAAGTCATGTTTTGCAGAGGGGTCCAAATACTTATTTCCCTCATTAAATGCAAATCAATTTATAACATTTTTGACATGCGTTTTTCTGGATTTTGTTGTTGTTATTCTGTCTCTCACTGTTCAAATAAACATACCATTAATATTATAGACTGATCATTTCTTTGTCAGTGGGCAAACGTACAAAATCAGCAGGGGATCAAAAACTTTTTTCCTTCACTGTACATATATTGTTTCAAACTTCGGATCAAAATCTTTGGTAACAAAAGGTTACTTTTCAAGAAGTCATTCATTTAACATTTTTTTCAAATTATTTTAGGAATGTCATCTGGCTCTTCGTCAGTATCAACCAATGATATTTCAGGATATATTTATATTATATAAGATTAGGCTTCTGACAAAACAAAATCACATGTTCTTGCACGATGTAAATTATGAGTCCTTGCATGCTGTTATTAATACTGATGCAGAGATTGAGTTGTACATTTGAGTTTCAGTACAAAACACAATTAAGGTGGACAATGGCAATGATTTACTGGCACATTAATTAAAACACAAATTATAACTTGTTTCACATTGAATAGAATGGCACCACAAAGCCTCTCTGCTGCACTTATACCATGGCCTGAAAGCTGCAATAAGTCTCACAGAACACAGAGACTCGGTGTTTTAATGGCCCGTGAAGTCAGGGAATTGTTTTGTGTATCGTAGTGAGCACAGCGGCTCCTGTTATTCTTTGTGGTTTAAAAAAAAGCATTTGAAATAAATTTCAGTCACGAGTAAATTGTCAAAAACCTGCCTTTAAGTTGAACTCGTTAGCAACAGGGTGGCCAGATAGCCTCGTGGTTAGCATGCAAGCCAACGTGACAGATTGCTTATGACCGGAAGTTTTATTTACGCGAGCAAGCACAATACTTAAAGAGAATTTCCAAATTAACAACGCCTCTGCTGTAAATGGATTTGAAAAAAAAATACCGTGGGACATCATTTCCAAAAGCAGGCATTTTGTGTCACACTAAATCTGAAAATTATGGTACAACCAAATTTTGGGGTGGAGGGGGGGGGGGCAATGTTGAAATGTAGTAAAATTTATGCGGTACTCCCTTTGCGAAGGAGATAAATTACATCACTCTGGACTCTCACAAAAGAACATTGATTGGATGATTGGTTGATTTATCCATCGATTCAGGATTACACGTGCGGTTAGAGTAAAAAAAAACAACTACTGGTGTCCTGTGCTGAAGACGCACGTACAACCGGGTGTCGTGACTCTTGACCGTGTGCGTCTGGCAGCGTGCTCATTACACACGACGACCTGGTGAAGATCTCGGACTTTGGGACGTCCAAAGAGCTGATGGACAAAAGCACCAAGATGTCGTTTGCGGGAACTGTGGCCTGGATGGCTCCGGAGGTGATCCGCAATGAGCCTGTCTCTGAAAAGGTGGACATCTGGTGAGTTACTCCACCCACAGCGGGCCCCATGGATTATTAATGCACACTTTGATGTTCACGGGAACTGATGTCGAATAATGACGATGACAATGTTTTAACAAAATGTATTGCTTTTCCCTTGTAACAGATGACTGTTGAGGGATTACTATTATTGCTTGTAGGTAATCTTGCGATTACATTTGACACATTTTATATTTTACATGTTTAAATGATTGCACGCATCAATTAGTCTACGTTATAACACAACGGCCATTTCAAGCACAAAGTCACTCGCTGATGGCCTTGAGCTATTGTGATTGCTGTATGCGTAAAAGCAAGTAAGAATTTCCATTACTATATGGATACATTCGAATCTATGTGAACAATCCATAGAGAAATCATTAAAAGCACCACTTTCAAGGAGGTGATGGATGTGTAATTAGTCAAACCCTGGACACAAAACGCCAGCACGTCACCTCTGTTGACACGTGTGTTCATCTCTCACTCATGAACAAACAAAAATAAAATGCACGACTCAAATGTTTATTCCAGAAAAATTCCAGGATAAGTTTCTCCAGTCGATACAGTTGCTGTCTTAACAAGAAATGTGAGATTTGCCAAAACATTTGGCAATGCAATGTTTCAGTTACCTGAAATGGGCACGTTTGTGCGCTACATTGATCATATTTACAGTCACTGTCAATTTTAATGTCTCATATTGAGTGAAGTGTTATTATTATTCAGGAATGTAAATACGATGATCATTCTGGCAGTTAGTTTTGCCTTTTCTTTAAGATGTGAATGTAATGCTATATTAAACATTTCTTTGAATTCTAGCATATATTTCGAAATTTTGATACAAAAATACGTATTTCTTTCCAAAATATTGTTTTCATTTTAATTTCTGTCTTTTCTCCCTGTTTTATTCATTCATTTTTCAAGTTATCCGAAAAAAAATATTTCTTTCCTCAATAGGCTAAGATGTGTACTGTGTAACATCTGTACCGTCGCTAAACGCCCATGACCTAGAGCGTAACAGCTCATTCGGCCCTTCCTGCTGAGATAAATAACATCGAAATCACCCGGTTCAAATAAAGGTGGAGATCTAGAGATGGCTAAATGAAGAACAACAACACCAATTATGATATTTTCAATGTTGTATTGTTTGTGTCATGTACAGCCATTGCACTTTTAACAACGGACAGCACTTTTCAAACGTATGATGTTGTACAGAGCAGAGTTAGATTCCCTTTGCATCCTGGTATATATTTTTTGCAGCTGCTGTATTCACCAAAAGATACCGTCTTGCAGTGAAGCAAACACTTAAAGGCCATGTAACATACATTGCAAAAGCAGATAATAATAACTTTGCAATTAAAGATGGTCTTGTGGCTCATGTCCTGACCGAGACACTAAGCCGCGACTTCTAAGATCGTGGGATTGTGCCACGGGTTACCACTCGACACAAAGTGTTTGTGATGGGCAGAGAGCTTGATGTTCTCTGGCCACTCATCAGTGATTGAACAAAAAAGCCCCCGAAATCACATTGGTGTTTGCACTCGGGTGTACTCACTCATACATGAGAACATGAGACAGCATGTCCGAGCGCATCCTTCAGATTGCGACTCGCTGCTTTGTGACTTGTATTCGCCCACCCTTTTTGCCTGATTCCGCAGTGACTTCTTCGATGTAAGAGAGCAACGTGTGGTAGCACAATAGATACATCATTGGAACACAGCCAACAACATATCCTGTGATTGTGTAGCCGGCACTTTGTCCCCCATTTTGGGAATTCTGTACCAAGAGCAGCTCTCTCCTTCATTTTGGTCGTTCTGTCACACGTCAAATATCACAAATGAAATAATTAGGTCAATCTCCCTTTTGATTTTATTCACTGTGGCCTGCTGTAAACTGAATTTCCTGTATTATATTTCTAATTTATATGAATGTCAATCCCAAGGTAGTTTTAACTTGTAAGTTAAAATGTTCTTTAAATGTGGTCTTAAAAAAGAGATGTATTCCCTTTAACCATTAGAAGTACAGCACGTAGGTTAGGTTCCTGAAAAAGGCCATGGTAGGTAAATACGGGGTTGGTAAAGTCCAGGGGCCTAAGGGAAACAGGGGTTAGAGGAACCATGTCCGTGGTCAGACTCAGCATAGCTTAACTAACTTACCTGTTTATTAACTAAACACCGATTAAAATAAAGTGCATTACACAAGAGCATAATACAACGTACGTAAACATTATATGAACTTTACATAGGATAATGTTTCCCCCTTTTTCTGGCAGCAAAAAAGGAGAAACCCTATTCTCATATTTTGATACTGGCAAGGAGGTCCCATGATATAACTTTACATCGCTTTAATGTCAAGGGTAGAAGTCCATGATTATACTGGTAGGAACGAAGTTGTAAACTGAGTGTACCAGCCTGCAATCGATTAATGTGTCCGTCCGTCCGTCCCCTTTCAATACTTTAACGAAGTGAAATCTCGTGCTGTTGGGTGTAAAATCAGCAATAGACAGCAATAGACAGCCCACCCTGCAGGGACCTGTTTACGATGACGATACGACGATGGTGAAAGGCCTGGTTAGAAGGAGGGAGGGCCTTAGCCCACAACAAACGGAATTCAAATGTGCGGTTGCGATGCGACGCGGTCCTTTGCGCTGCAAGAATCACAACAAAGCGGACGGACAGCTGATAAGCTACGACGCAGCGCCACAGTGGCGCTGTGGAGAAGTGCGGCCCCGTGAAAATGTGTAACTGCGTGGTTACAGACCGGCGTTTACCCGTGTATACTAAAATTTTCCAGCACCACGGTTCGGTACATTGGTACACAGATAATAAACCGTGTGTAATATGAATTACACGGTTGCCAACTCCGCGTTTGGCGAGAGAATGCTGCATCGATATATGATGTTTAATTGTCACGCCAGAAAGTCTACAAGGTATGTGCGATTTATGTGTGGTCAGTGTGATCTATCTTTGGTAATGTGTGAGGCTGTAAAAGCCTTGCAGAGTCCAAGTACTGCAGAAGGAGGCCTTGAAATAATGTATGCATTTGCCTGTGCCATACGTGACTTCTAGCTCTGGCAGAAGAGAATACAAACATGGATTTGACTGTCGGGATGGTTTTCACTGGATCTCACATTACACACTTAGATGTGATATTTTTTTCAACAGAATAGTGTCTGTGGTGGAAATGTCAGTTTCTTGATAATATCATGGATGTGAGAACATAGACAAGATTACAAATCCATTCTACATGAACCATAGCAATTTTTAGACCAAGCTTGTGCGCAGATGGATTCATAGACATTAAAATAGCTTTTTTTATCTATATAAAATAAGAAATACATTATGCAACCATGGGTCTCACGTTTGCACCCAGTGACCAGTAAGTGGCTTTGTAACGGAACCCCCGTTAACTAGATGGGATGATAATTAAGCTTTTGTAGCTATTTGTCCCAAATCCACTTTTAAGCCATCTGCTCCAGGAGGGGCCAGACTAATGCAAATTCAGCCTCAGCAGGGTAAATCCCAGCAGCTGAGACCCAGAATTGTCACCCAGGGACTGCAGCTGAAATATCGCTGCCTGCCTGCGCCTGGGACGCCACGATGGCGAGATGTTAACTACCTCGCTTGGTATGCAGGAGGCTGTGAATTCGATCTCGACCCTGGTGCCTGTATACTTAGAGTTTGCATATTCTCCCCGTGGATGTTTCTCCGGATCCTTCGGTCTTCCCCCCCCCCCCCACACATTTAGAATCAACATGCGTTTGGAGTATTTGGCTGCTATACATTTTCACATGATAAGCCACTTTGTCGAGCTATCATTTGTGGCCAGGTCTCTTCTGAACAAGAGTTATATAGCTCAGTGGGCCTTACTTGGTAAAATAATAGTAGCAGGGGTCAGATTTTTTCATTGTTTCATACTTTCACTCACTGGTCCCTGAATACGGTATATGTTGGACTTGGTTTGGATATGGGCATTGGTGAGGTAGCTTACCAGCAGTTGTATTTATGGCTCAAAAACTATAGCTGGCGCGCAGAGTGTTTGGTTTCTGGTGATGCGGACATTACAAGTGAGTACAGCATCCCGTCGTTGATCACCAACTTGCTGTCCGCGATTTTGGCTATCCGCGAATCGCATCTGGAACTCACGACTAGATCGAGAGAGAGAGAGAGAGACAGAAAGTGATTAGATAAAGTGCTGAGAGAGAATGTGATGCGACAAAGTAATGAGATTAAGTTAATTTATTAATTACGGTTTAATACGTTTATATTTATTTGCATTTACTTAATGTTTTAAAAAAAAAAATTAGTTATTATGATCATCTGCATGTATTTAATAGCTTATTTATTTGAGGCAATTCATTAAACGGTACGATCTCATCGGCCAATATCATTAACTGCAAAATTTGCTATTCACGGCCACCTCCGGAACGTATCCCTCGTGGATAACGAGGAAATACTGTACAGTTCTTTCTGGGGGCAAAGGCTCACCATTGAGCATGCAGCCCTTCGCAGCAGCGGTGTCAGCACGCTATAACTACGGTCACGTGATGCAACAGTCCATCTCACTCCTGCACAGGAGATCGTCTCATCGGTCATCCTCGCAGCAGCTTTTGGCTCGCCATCGAAACGAAGACGGTCACTGCATCGTGCGCTTTCAGATGCGCTTCTCCGGCCCTCTGGAACGCTCTTATTTGCGATATTGGGAAACCACTGGAGCTATGCACTGTGATAATGTAGATTGAAAACCCATTTCTTTAGAAGTGCTTTTTGTGTTTCATTTCTTGTTCTTCCCCCGTACCTCCGATTAGCACGGTTTGCCTCATGCAGCACGAAAGAAGCTCAACATACATATATACATCACCGCATCTCCGTGCCGGTCGTACTCTTGGGCATGAGTTCACTCCTTTGGCTGCTATTCCAACACGAGTCTCAACCATCGGCACTCATCCCTTCCATCACTGTGTGCCGCTGTCTACGCTTACTTTATTTTCTCAACAGCCCAGC